TTTCTCTTAATTTTCTTTCTGCTATTTTTAAGAAGAACTCAGCATTGTCTTATTTTTCTCATATTTCCAAGTCAAGTAGAATTATTCCTGAAAGAGTACTTTTTTATTAAATTATTCTACTTTCATTATAGGCCATCCATTTACCTGCTGAAACAATGAGAATAGTGCTGGAACGCTGCTACAATGATTTACGTCTTCTCACTGTGCCCAGTAAAACCCTGAAAGCTGAAGGTTTTTTTAGAAGTAACAAGGTATCTCTTTTATTATTTCATTACTACAATATTCTCTATGCTGGTAATAGTAAATTAAATAAAGTTCAATATTATAAACCCAGCCTCTAAAGCTATCCATCATCTGTCTGTAATTTACCTTTAAAATTCTCACATCCTCCCACTGATTTCCTTCCTTTGTAGTCAGGGCAGATCTGGCTTCTTTCTGTTCTCTGCATCAGTCTTGCTGGTTCTCTTCCCTTGTCCATGAGCTACCCCCGCCTGGAGTGTTCTTGCCCCTCTCCTTACATTTTTTTCAAGCCCCTGATTAGTCCGGCCTCTTTGGTGAATCCTTCATGGCTATTTTTATCCACAGTGATTATGTCCCCTGAATTTTATTCATTCTTGAGCTTCTCCCAGAAAGTCATACTTCATGGTGAAAATCAGAGGCATGTCTGGTATAGAGAAAATTATCATCTTGGGTTCATCCAACTATTCCCCTTGCCTACTCATTTATCTCTGTTATAAAACGGAAAGTTCACATCGCTCTTTTTGTTTCATCTTTTTATATTATTATGTGTTTTATCCTTTATCATTTTTCCTGTGTGTTTGTTTCTGATGTCTTTGGTTTACTCTGGATAAATTGCATCCAAAATTTTCCTTGTTTGCCATCTTTTATTTATCGTTTTTTCCAGTCTCGTTCATCGTAGTGCAGTCTAGTCTTTTATCTTATTTAACGATTTTTAGTATTGTTTTGTCAATCCTGAAGTGTAATTTTTATTTACCTCTGTTTTCTTCTAATACTTCTGTGTGGTGTGTC